TGTATTTTCATAAATTTAACTTTTTGGAATTATTTTGTTGTTTTTGAATTTTGTAATTTTAGAAATTTGGGATTTTAGAAATTTAATTACTATATTTTCTTTATATTTTTGAATTTTTATGGATTTTTTTTTAATTTGTTAAATTTTGTAAGTTTTAGTTTTTTGGATTTTTTATTTTTTATAAAAATAATTACAAATTGACCTCCAAATTAGTAAATATTTATCAAAAGACACCAATTTGTAGTTTTTAACATGTTTACATATATTTGGTGTATGTCACCATGTATTATATAATAGTGTATGTAATTTAGAACACATTTCTATATTTGGGATGGTTTGCAACATTTTAGCCAATATCGTGTATGTAAGATTGATTTTATGATTTATTTAACAAAGTACGTGCATTTTTTATTATATACACATTAAAAACGGTAAGAGTTTTCGGGGTCAACAAAGCTATAGAAATAAAGGGAAGGTCTAAAGATTTCCAAATTGGGGAAAGAAACAGCTATTTGACGCTTTTCACTATGTATATATGAATCTCTTTTGATGGGAATATAATGTAAAAAGCATACCATTTTGAGTTTTAAGAAAACAGCACCTTTGTAGTAAAAGTAAGCTTAGCATCTAGTGGCTCTTTTTTTTGGCATTGCATCCTAAATCGAACTTTATACTTATACACATAATTTGTTTTGTTTCATTGATCTTTTTATCTTGTGGTCAAGATTTCATTGATTTTCTTAAGTAATGAAAAATATGTAAATATTCCAGTCTATAGGTTTTTTGTTTGCTAAACAAATATTCCAGTATATAGTTAGTAGAGCTGTAGAGGCAACTTAATTTGTTTCGTTCCTTTGTTGTAGTTTAATTTAATTTATAGATGAAAAACGTAATTTAAATTACTGCGTCGGTAAGATAACGAACCCGCGTTTGTGTTATGACAAAATAGTACTATTGTACCACTTATTTATACAATTTATAAGCAAATATAAAAAAAATTGTTTTAATAAATTGACGATGTCACTAAATTACCATACGATTTAATCATGGCCCAACCTTATGGGATTTTAGTATTTTACTCCAAAAAACAAAAACAAAAATCATTATTCAGCAAGTTGGTCTGTCATTGTGCTTATACAGTGACCTCACTATAGGGAAAGCTGTTTAAAAAGACATAATTGTAACCATATTCTTGTAGTGCACGTTGCACCGATTTAATTCTACTTTTAAGGGAAAAAGGGCCTAAATAGAATTTGTACGAAGGAATATTTTTGTTAATTTTGACGGCTGTGGTTGATTTGATGGTATAAGTAGTAAGAGTCAAATTTTGTACTTAAATATTCGTTGAAAATAGAATTAAACAGGAGTTAAAAACAAAAAAAAAGAAGAAGACCTGGTTGATGTGTAAAGAGTAACGTTACAAATTGTATTAAGCCACAGACGAAAGAACAGATA